CATCGCCGTCTCCATAGAAATAATCCTTTTCTCGCCTGGGCATTTTTTGAGTTCAAGTGATTCCCGTTGGCGCTTTAATCTGGGGAAAATTTTTTGACAAATCCATTTTTTTAGCTTAAAGGGTTCAATCTCATAATATCAATTCTCCCTGGCGTATCTAGTTTTGTTGTATCCTTCCTTCCCAGCATTTATTAATTGCGTTATTTTTCGTTAATAAGTAAAAATTATTCAGTTTTTCCTTAGTGACCCCCGTAACTAAGAAAAAATCGGAATCACTGCTCCAATGCATTTTTTACGAAATGCCCAGGCGGGATATTGATACATTTGATTAAGGAGGCGGTGATGCCAGCAATACGTATAAATTATTTTGATTTGTTGTCATTTTTTCTTTCGCTCTCAGGATAAAAATTACAAAAACCGAAAGTGAAGTTAGTTGCCTAAGGCCCGTTTTACATTTTTATGTCAGTCTTTATGAGAAATCGTCCAAAATTCCGTGTCCGCCAATGTATTACCCCTCTTACACAGGAAAACTACTTTTTTTGACAAAAAGATGAAGTTTCAAAATTTCAGGCAGTATTTTTCTATCACTTCAAAAAGTTCACCGTAAACTACCTTTTACTGTCATCATTACTGACATTTGACAATTAAACTTTTCTGTCAGTGACACTATTTTTTAAGTCAAAATGACATAAACATGACAAGAGTAAAAAATTACGTTATTAATGTAAAGGTTGTTTCAGAGTTTACATTGTGACAATGACAATACTGCCCGAAATTTTAATTTCGCAACTGTACATATTATTATTGTTATTAATCGATACTTTTTTACTATTATGTTTATATTATACATATATCAAAAATTAATTTAGAATTAATTTTTCCTTCTTCCTAGAAAATTGTAATAGTCACATAGGAGGTTTCATAAAACCCCCGACGATATGTGTTTTTCATATTTTGCTCAATAAACAAAATCATATAACATTTAAGAAAATTTATGTGCAAGAGTTGCTTACCCGAATACCAACAAACTGTTCGTGCAGGATAACCCACGACAGTAGATACACAAAGGAGACATTTGTCGCAAAAAGCGCCATAACATCCGTTGCTAGAAGTATTCGCAGAGACAAGATATACATATAGTTTGTCCCCACCCACAGCAAGCAAAACACGCTACATCTCGTCATAAATCGTACTAAAAACACCCAAATTAGAACCCTAGAGAAGTAATTTATTTACCGTCGACCAACCTGCGGTAAACCCTTTATCCCTATACCCTCGTATACTTTCTGTGAAGATTTCGGATGCGGACTTGCACCGTTTTGTGCTTAACCGACTTAGAAAATATAAAGGAAAAAATAACATTGTCCAATTTGTTACAAACCATGTAGTGAAAAACGGTGCTTGATATGATGCTGCCTGGAATAGAATGGCATTGATCGGGTGAAATAGAATCGAGGGGAGTGAGTGCATTATGCAAATGGATTCTAACACTTCACCGAAGGACATTAAATACGTACATACTGTTTTTGAAGAGCGGTCATGTTGAGTCCGGAGGTGTCGTGGGGCACCAAGACGGGGTCCTCATCGATGTCGGTGATCGGTCTTTGCAAATATAAGTATTTTATGCAGTGAGTGGCGCCCACCCAAGAGGCTGTGACGCAGATTGTCACCCATATCCCGAAGTATATCTAGAGGGAGAGATAATAATTCCTGACGGAAACTTTCATCGATTTTATTCTATTTTAAGCAGATTATTTATTTAAAGAAATACCAATTCAAGTGGGTATATGAAAAACAAGCAATATTACTTGAGAATATTTCTCCGAGTAAATGCAGAAAAGCGTTATTTAAGACGTTTAACAAGCCAACAATTTACTTTTATTGTTGTTGGTTACAAGGCAAGTAATTGTCGTGCTTGTGTTGATTAATTTGAATCACACACTACAAAGCCACAGCTGATATTTTCCCGGCGCCTCCACCAAAATTTACTAAGGTACCATTTATCAGTTTTATAACCTTCGTTATTGTAATTTATGAGTTTTGGTGTATTTTGCATATAAACATTAACTGGTCGTGTTTCGTGCTAGGAGTTTCGATTTGGTGGTGAAAGTGTTTTCCGTTTAATCAAATAGTCAAACACAGTTTAGGAAATAATGTTAAAAAAGAAATAAAAAGGTATTGTGTTTTCTTAATTTGCATAAATTTTGCGGAAAATTGTATACTAATAAGTGTGTTTGGTTGCGGTAATGTTGTAATTTTAAACACGTTTAGCTGGAAAAAATACATTTACATAATTTATACTGAAAGTAACCCAGTAATGTAGTTGTGGAACTAGTTGCAGTGGATTTGGAGCGATTATGAATAAATGTGGTCACATAACTTGGTAATTTTTATTTATCGTATAATTTTTATTCTTGTGTAACTAGCAGAGCTTGCGTGATTTTCGAATAATGCGTGCTGATAACTTTTCCGATTCGATCAGTTTATGTACGATTTTTTATTCCGCATTAGTGAGTTACGTAAAAGATTAGAAATTTAAACTTTTATTTTTTGTGATGTACCTAAAATACGAACAAATACTCTTTATTAATGACTAGTACAGAAAATAATTTCTTATCGTTTGTGTACAGTACATTGATCTGTTTAATGGGTTAATTTGATTTTGATTTCTACTTTTCTACACAAATACAGTAACCAAGTTTTTTACATTAAATAAATCTAAATTACGTGATAAAAACTCATTGATAATGAAATTAATATAAAATTGTTTCGAACATATTCTATTAGTAGGTGTAAGGTTTTTGAATATAAAAGCACATTAGTGTTTTTATGGAAATGTATGTTTGGCATTTCGTGTTAGGCTTTCTAATTGAAACATTGATATCACAATACTAACCTTTTAATAATAAGTCTAAAAAAACAATTTTCTTATTATTTTTATAACAGTGTTAAATGGTTTTATTTTAAAAGTCGTAGAGGAAAAATAATTATGGTTAAAATTTTCAAGGAATAAGTTACTAATAAAATAAGCTTTTGTTATTTTATTTTTTATATTATTTACTGATTGAACATAGCTAGTCAATTATCGCTTCAAAAGGAAGGATGTAGAATACATGATTGGGAACAAAATTTTTAATTTCAAGGCCGCGTTTGGGCTAATTAGAAGCCAAACACACTAAAAGTCTTTTGGTCTCCGAGGTGAGCTGGACAAAGAGAAACACCAAGAAGGTGCCGTTTTATGATTTTTCGTTTATTACCTTGAAAACAGTGCCTAGTACGAAAAAAGTGGTTATCAAGCTTATGAAATTTTATTCAAGCTGTTTTTTTTTTTGTAGATAATTAAATAATTTTTAAGATATCCGCTAGTAAATATCGCGGGCACTTTATAAAAAAAGGCATTTTTTACACCAAGTTTACAGCAAAAGTAATGGTAGTTTTGTACGCCTTTGCAGCTTTCGTACCTTTATGATGTGATCTCAAGCCTTTCAAGAAAGTGAGGTTACGTTTTATTTTTTACACCGTGTTCTACATGAAAATGTTCAAATTTTTACTTCCGTATTCTCGGTACTAAGTCACACACATAACATTTTAATTAAAAATTAGATCATCTTTTTATGAATGAATGATAATTTCAATTAATCAATTTTGCTACACTATTGGCTACACTTTTGAATTAAACATGGTCACCCATGGTTACTCACATTATAATAATGGCCGACCTTAAACGGACCAATTACATCATTGCATTAATTTTTGAATGAATCCGAAAATCTAAGGTGATTGGTTCTTTACATTATAATAATGGCCGACCTTAAACTGCCCAATCAGAATGTTTACAACTTATACAACAAACTTTACGATAATTCATTAATAAGTAGTTTTTTAAAGAGTACGATATTTGCTTACAAATATTTCGAAAACTATTTGAGAAAAAGCCCGAGAAGCTTATCTTATATAGGATTATAAGTTTTAATTTTTGTACATAGCCGTTTTTTCGTAATACGAACAGTTTTGTGGATATAAGCAAAGAAAAATGCGGGATTTTTTTATGCCCCCTTACTATGGACAAGGGGGGACTTTTAGTATGTTCATTTTCTAACTTACTTAAATACAGCCTTGAAGTCGTAAAATCTTGTGGGTATAAATAATAAAAATATCTATCAAATAGAAAACTGTTTCGTAATTTTTTTCTATACTTTTATAAGAATTTTGTGTCACATCCTACATAGAGAATACCCGCCTTAAAGAAAAATGCCAAAAAAGTTATCTACTTTTTAGATATGGTCATATTACTACTATACGTAGTCAATAACCAATATTTTTTAATGTGAATAAAATGAGTGAGAATTTTGTCAGTGAGAGTCAAATTGTTGATAACATTTATTTCGTAAGTAGATATTTTTAACCCACGTTATTTTTCTAATCCCTTTTTTATTTTTTTTAAAGTGAAGAAAGTGAAACTTATTCAGTCAGTTTTACTATTTTTAAGTAGTTTGTTATTTGTTACAATTTCTGTCATGTTTGAATTGATAAACGGTATAATTAATGAAACAATTTATTGTAGCGATTTAGGTGTAAATTCAATTAATTACAAATCAAAAGTGTACAAATTAATAGCTGTGGCCTGGTTATTCAAGTCGTCTCTCATATTGTTTCAATCTTTAATTTTGAATAAATAGTTATAGCAGTTTATTCTCTAGTTTTTGGTCTTTGGAAAAAGTAATTTGGTAATAAATATCAATTTTTGTTTATTTTGCGACTTTAACCACCTAGCCTGTAAATTTTTCTATTTAAAATTTCGGTTTTTCCGTCAGAAACAATTTATTACGCTTATATTTCACCATCAAGTGCACAGTTTTCTCGTTTTCAGTAACGTCCGAGATGATTTATCGCTCGCCCTAATTATATTAGTGTAAATTTTGATCAAAACTTGTGTCACTCGACGAATCAATAATTTCACTTACTTTCCGTGCCGATTTGGAACAAAGTGAAATGGAACAAGATTTGAGTTTGGCTGCGAGTCCTGTAGGGGCAGTGGGAGACGAGGTTTCTGCCGGTTCCTGCTGACTACTAACGGAGTCTGCATGAGCGAAAGGTCCGTTGGCAACTCCTTCATCAGTCACTAAAACACTTGGAGCACGATTTCGACCACGAGGATTGAAGATTGTCGGGATGTCTCCGTCCCGGGTCATGGTCCATCAATGGGTTGCTGTGGCCAATTCATTGGGCGGTCATTGATTTTACTGTAGAAATAATAAATTATTTATCGTACCGTTTCCGGTGATTTCATACAGCGTGAGAAATTCATAAAGACTATTGATTCAAATGAAACGGCGTCTCTCCGGATATGCAGTGTATTAGTTTGGGGAGTTTGAGTTCGATTTTGTTGGTAGACAAGTTTGTGTTGCCAAGAAGACAGCTCTTAAAGTTCATGAAACACGGGGTTATTAGGTTTGCTTTGTTTACGACAAGCAAAACTTTCAACAAATAATACACACTGTTTAGTATCGACGAGTTTATTACTTCTTCCAGTGTTATAAGTTATAACATTATAACTACAAATCAAATTACTATAAATATTTGTGTTACATTTATAGAGTGATAATACACTCTTTTTTCTTTGGTTATGGTAAAGAAACATTTTCTGCATCTAGCATATAAAAAATATAGTATGAAAATTATTAACTTATTTGTTATTATTACTTCAGTGTTTTTTTTTTTCGTAAAATGCATGCAAATATGTATGAATGTACATACAATGAAGGTGCGAGTATATTTTATATTCAAATTCTAAATAGGTATACATTTTTTTAATTGAAGTTCTTTATTGCTTTTTTTCTTTTTTGTAGAAGCTTGGAGATAATGCTTTGTCGTTTTCTGTTTTGATCAAAAATGTGGAATTTTATTATTTGGAAACAAATTAAAATTTTCTCTATAAAAAAGGTGAATTATCGATTTTGTAATCAGCAAAAGTGAATAACACAGTATGGTATAAATACGTAAAGTGTCTACGTCAGAATAAAAAAAAACTGTTAAATTAGACTTTCGTTTGATAACTAAAAATAAATTTGAGATAGATATTATTAGATAAGCTTTCTTGCAGCAATATCTTCTATAAAAGACTAGATTGAAGGTTTCGCAAGCAACATTCTAATTCTAATTACTGTTTTCTTACAAATACCAGGACACGTGTATTCTATAATTCTATAATAAACACACATAGTCATTTTGTTGATTCAAGCTTATTATAAGTTTTTTTTACTGAAATGTATATAATACAGTATGTCCTCGGATTGAATTTACAAGTGATAGCAATTAAAGAGCAGAGAAAAATTATTCATTATATACAGGGTGTCCCATGAATAATAATGAGCTTGAAAAATTTTTGGAAGCAACTAACATTACATTTCAAAGATAACGTGGATATTAAAATATTTAGGTTTAATAAATTAAACATAGTGATCAAACAGCACTCTTTAACTTTAATTTATAAAAAGTCAAACCTTGGAAAATTTGGTGAGAATTACTAAAATGTTGACGAAAAGACCAACAAGATTCTCATTTATGAAGAATGTTTGAAAAACCCTTCGCAGATTGTACGTTTCTATCCAGCGCGATATCCAAATAGACGGACTTTCTAAAACTGGAATAGTCATTTTTTATATTCATATAGTTGTCAAATAAATAAAACCGCCAATATGATAGGACTTAAAAAGCAGAGAAAAAAGTGCAAGTGCAAAATCAAAAAAAAACCTCTTCTTTCTACTGAGTTAGAATAATGAAATTTTAATTACAGATTTGCTCGTTTCAGGTGAAGCAAAAAATGTTTTTTCTTTGCAGTTTTGACGAAAAATCAAAGATAAAAATTTTTTCGTCCTGTAAACTCAATCTGGGGACATACTGTATATTACATTTTATCTTGTAGCCAATGTAAGATTGAAACAAAAAATATTTTATTTACTAAAAGTTTTTTTTTTTTTTTGAGTCATCAGATCTTTTTCTTATATAAGATTTTTGTAATAAAGTTATATGTTTGTACTTTATCATTAAAATATGTAATTAACAAAAGTTTATCAACATTTTTGATTTTTAATAATTTTTAATTAGAAAAAAGTTGTAGATGTTTTACGGATATTTTAAGAATCTACAAAAATATTTTTTGAATTTTTTCACTAAAATTGAACTCACTACACTAATCAAACATTTTGTACACAACAAAATATTATATAAAATATATTATATAATTTAAAATTGTTATCAAAACTAAGTCATTACTAGCACGAGATTAGGACACACCCATCTAACTCATCTCCACCACATCACCACGAATGAAGCCATTGTGTGAAATGTGACAACCAATAACAATTTTGCACATTTTATTCAATTGCAAAAAATACGAATGATCTTGCAAACTTTTTAGACTTGCAGGCGACCTACGATATATCGCAAGAAACAGTTGCGATCGAGAAAACAAATTACTGGACTTTCTACGTCATTGCGAACTTTACCGTGAAATGTAATGTATTTAATGTATTGTAGCAGGAATTGTTTTTGATATGTAATGTCTTAAGTGCGAATAAAATAAATATTTTAAAGTTATTTTTGTGTGGGTGCAATTGTGAAATGTCAAAAATTCAAATATTAAAAACCTCAGTAATTAATTTCACTAAATTCCAGTTAAGAAATGTTTTAAATTTGGTGGATGCGCCGGGATAAACAAAATTCTTTAAATTAATTTCTAAAATAAGTAAGTATGATATTAATTGTATCATATTGTTTAACCGATTAAACGAAATTTGATGACTTATTTACGACAGGTGGGCCCTATTTATTTTCTTAAATGTAAACGTTTATATAGCATATTCAACACGTGTTGAAGCTATTTTAGTTATGAGGAACTAAAGTATTGAGAATTTTTCCAATATTGTAACCTTATCAAGCTTCCTGAAACTTTCCTTCAAATCAATGTAGATATATTGAAAGTTTAACATTATCATTGACAAACATTTTAAATTTTATATAGCAGACTAGTTAATTGATTGAAGGGCTATGTAGGAATTTTACTGCTAGTTGATGTTATTTTGTCATTCATAAAACTAACCGTTAATTGAAATTGGAAGCAGAATAATGCTATTTCAGGATTAACAAGGGAATTATGACAATAAAGTGACCTCGTTACGTTGTTTAGGATTGCCTTGAACTGGAAACCTTTGCATTATGTTGACTTTATTAATTAGATTTATTAATGATAAGCTTTTTGGTGAGATGAAGTAATTAAAGGTATCACCAACAAATATTTATTTTTTTTTATCTTGCAACAAAACAACTTTGGGTTATTTATTACCTAAAATCTAATTAAGATTGTGTTTACATCAACAACAAAAAACAAAAAACTGAGAACGAAATACATTTATAACTTTGATTAAAAGAATAAACATAAATCTATTAAAGGTAAAATTTCGTGATGATATTTTTTGACGTGAATTGATTGAAAACGTATTGAATTGCCTAAAAATAGTAACTTTTGTTTCAGAAAACGAAGAATAATTTTGTCTAAAATCGTGTCACATAAAACAATTTCCAAACTTACCCTTATAGTTTTAGCAAGAATGGGTGTATCGACCTTTTCGGCATCTACAGCTTTTAGACATGCAACTTGCAATAAGCCAACGTTCGATTATCCCAAGTTATCAGAACGAGAGTTAACCCGCGACTGAAGTGGTGTGCATGGGCGCAGTTTGCATTGATTACCGGCCGGGCATCGCGACGCAAGGCGCCGCTCCGCGCATATGCCCCTTAATCGTTCTCTTTCAATGCTTTAAGACTTTTGTTTATTTGATGAAAACAGGCATTTCGCGTAATTGTATGTGACTGGTGACCTCTAGAGACAGGATGTTTGCAGACATGATAAAGGGTTTATTCGATTTGGGTGGGGGTGGTTGTTTTCTTTAAAGAAGAGATAAGGACAAACACAGATGCATTGAAGAAACGTGAACGAAAATATTTCCTTGAATGAGACAGTATGATGGATGAACACATCTAGTGCGAATTTAGCTTTAATTTGCTTTATAATGTTTCAAAAGGAGAGACAAGCTTTTTGAGTGTTTTTTATGACAAAATCTCGTTCTAAGACAGATGATAAATGGATCAGTGTATGAGTTATTATAAATTATGTGATTAAAGCAAAGACAAGTAATATATACTATTCCAAAAAATTAAAGGGATAAAAAGTTTCCTATTTTTTTTGTGATTTTTGAGAGGTGTACCATTGAAAAATGGTAGTATCTAGAATTACAAAAAAAAAAACATTTTGAAGTTTTAATTTTTTAGTTTTGAGATTTTTTGTCAAAATTACGTCAATCACGCAATCCTGAAAAATAGCGCAAAAGACAAGTCTTTTTTTGTTTATGATTTAGTTAAATCAATTTATGGGCCGGATAGCATGTTCATTTACCTTTAATATGATTTTTTTTTATATTTTCTTTACGTCAGTTTGTCCGAGATATCTGACTTTTAATAAGAAAGATTTTTTTATTTTGATTATCGATATCTCAGCACAGAGAATGTAAGGTATAAATAAATAAAGTAAAGAATAAATGTTTTACAAGATGCTTTTTATCTTTTCACGATTAAAAAAAAAAAAATTTACACTCAACACTGTTTTAACAGAAAGAGAAAGAAGCAATTGTTTGCGTTGTTTTAGTAAATCTACCACGTATTCACTAATATTTATAGGAAAACTAATATTTTCAGTTGTTTTTTCAGCTTAATGAACCCCCCCTTGCACTGATTGATCAAATTTTTACAATATAATTAAAGCAACAATTGCACAAATTGTTTTTGAACATTGTCTAATCTTTGTCAAAATGAGAAAATAGTATATTTTATAAATGCTCTGTCTGTTTTTTTAATTTAATAAGAATTTAACAAATTGCAAATAAATTTTATCAGTCGAAAAATTATAATCAAGTTTATGTTGTTTTTTTATTGTCATAACTGGCAATATTATAAAAAAAAATCTGATAAATTAAACATACCCATTTAAATTTAAAAAATAGAAGAACTGGATTTATATTTCTAATAATAAATAATTGTTTGTCTTTATTTATTATTATTTTTATAAAAAGTTTAGATTACCATTTTTTTTATTTATACATTAATTTTGTCAACAGTTGTATATAAATTAAAAATATTATACTACAAATAATCAATGAATTATAATTCATAAAGAATGGTATACTTGTTTTTATTTTTTTTTTTCACACAAAACGATATATGCAACCAATAATACACCATTTAGTTAGGTATTTTTGGTTTATCAATTATCATTCCTAAAATAACTGAAAACGTCAACTGTCACTAGTGTCATTTGGGCATTTGAGTTTTTCATGTTTATTAGCTGAGGTGTGCACGGTTTTGTTCCTATTAAAAATCTATTTCTATATGTGGTGCAAAAAGTAGATGTTTGTTGGGATTGAATAACCGGCCCCATTTTATACTGCAAACCGTATAACGATGGTATTTACAATTGCCTAAATCGTCACAAACCCTCTGCAAGTAAGACATTTCAGATGCAATTCATGCTACTATTCAGCCGACAAGGCAAATTGCGTCTGCAAAAATGGTACGTTGCACATCCCGACAAATTAAAAAAGAAAATAACGCGTGAATTAATCACTACAATCTTGGCTCGCAAACCAAAGATGTGCAGTTTCTTAGAGTGGCGAGATTTGAAAATTGTGTACAAACGGTATTGAATCATTGGGGTTGTAATTGTGTATTTATTATATTTGTGTAGGTATGCCAGTTTGTATTTTTGTTGTGCTATTGAGCAAGAAGATAATGAGTTGCTCACGTTGGAAGTAATTCACAGATATGTAGAATTGCTTGATAAATATTTTGGAAGCGTAAGTATGAAAATTCTTACACAACTTTGGCTTAAATGGTGTTTGTAGGTTTGCGAACTCGATATAATTTTTAACTTTGAGAAAGCTTATTTCATACTTGATGAGCTTTTACTAGGAGGAGAGATTCAAGAAACTAGCAAGAAGACAATCCTCAAAGCAATCGCAGCTCAGGATCTTCTACAAGAGGTTAGTCATGGAAATGTAGAATTGTGATTTTTTAAGCTAACATTTGGACACTTTTTATTACTTTTTTATTTACTTCTTGATTAGTTTTATAACTCTAAAACATGTATATAGAGCAGTAATAACAAATTTGCTTAATGATAAAAAAGAGGGTAATGTCCAGATGTTAGTAACATTTTATTTTCTCTTTCTCTAGCTCTGTTGCACTGTCAATGTAATCATCACTACGTGCTTGACATGTATATGTTTTTGTTACCTGTTATTTTTTATTTTGTGCACTCAAGGATCTAAACGACAATTGATCGTCAGTTTGCCATATGTTCGTAAAGTAATGCTTCAAAGGTTTTTTCGTAATAGTAATGCCAATTAGCTTAAAGACATTTTTTAAAGTGCTACAATTTAGGGTAATTTTTAATGAATATGTGATGCCATTAAGGTACAAACTTTTTAATAGTCACTTTAATTTTTACCAGTAGTTGTAAGTAATAGCTGACCATTAAAAAACAACAGAATAACCAGTAAGTGACTAAAATGCATGTACCTACCGATTTTACTAAACTAAAACTAAAAAAAAATTAATTGCATGAACGCATGTTATTGTATTTTATAATAATGAATAATGTAAACGTTTATGGTGTAAGTAGACAATGCTAGTGCCACAAAAACTCTTCTGTTTATGAAAAAACGGCTTGGTATGACTTAACATTAGCATGAGAACTATCATACTTGCCTTTTTTTCTTAGCAGTAGTGATTGATGTGATAAGACTGCTTTATAGTTAATTCAGTATTATCGATTCCATCCAAAAAAATTCAATAAAGAATACCTCGTAGTACTCTGACCTACTAGTGATGCCAAATCATTGAATTTACGGCCAGTACGATAAAATTAATGTTTAAACTGTTATCAACATGTAATTATATTGTTACAATAAACAAGTTCAATAATATTTTTGTAGTTTGACTTGATGTAAATAATCGTTTGGCTTTATTGTTGTAACGTATGCTTGAGATATTGTTTATAGGTGGTAGTACTGTTGCTTGTAAATAACGTGTTGGTTTATGGGGAAACAAATAATAATAATGCATCATGTTCCTGTTATTTTTAGTCTTGTAGTTTTAGATAGTTTCTTATTATTCTTTCCTAAAGGATGAAGCGGTGGAAGGTGCTTTAAGGGACATTGGTTTGCTGTAACGTCGTACACGAAGGCACACAACAACACAATTTCCAGGAGAAAATTTTCTACGACTTAAAACGATATATTTTTTTACATTTCTAAAAAGTAACTCGGCAATAAATTGTTCACTCGGTGGTCCGGTTTTCCATTCAAAACACAATACAGATTATTTTTCTTGCCAAATTTGTAAGATAAGTAATTCTAACAGTATTTAATTGTAACGTCATTGTGTATTTTATATATTCACACATCATGAGACACAGTAATGTTTTTTTCCTCGCACCAGTATTCGCACATTGTGATCGTCCATTTATAGAACAACTAATTAATGTGCCATGTACTTACTAATATTTTACTTTTATCATTTAACAATTCTGTTGGGTACTTGTAGTTGTACAATATAGTATTTAATATATTCGTATAAGTAGATTTGTGCACTTAATATCCCTTTGTTCCTGTTTTGTAATTTTTTCCTGGAGATTTCGGGATAAGATTTACGGTTGTTATGCTTGAATAAGAATCAATCAATATGAAAGTGGATAAATGAAGTGAAAGGTGCACGGAAATCACAAAATTTTAGGTATGTGAGATTTTTTTTTATTTCTATGTTATCCACGTTCATATTGGTGTTTTATGTTTAAAACCTCTCATTTGTGATTTGTTGCAGGAGGAAACACCACAAGGCTTCTTCGACGACCACGGCCTTGGATAATCACAATCATCATATTCTACTGACCTCAACAACACTATTCTATTCTTTAATTTTTTAATTTTGTTGATCTACATTTTTTTTTTCTTTACATGACATTTCTTTAGTAGTGGGATATTAAACTTATTTATCTTTTTTTAAATTGTACTCTATTTATATGATAATTATTGTTTTATTATTTTTTGGGTAAGTATATTTTTTTTTATTGAAAAATGGGTTGTGGTTGTAATTTTTTTTTATAATTTGAGTTTGTTTTATCAATTTAAGCTCAATTCAATTAACTTTAAAAGTATTAAAGTAACACTAGAAGCTAAAACACAAAACGCTTATAATATGTAGACTAGTGGTAAAATGCAAATCAGGTTTGTAAATAATTTCGACTAACAATATGAAATTAATATTTTGTGCAATATTGTTAAGACTATGCATGTTTGTAAATCCCAATAGTTAATTAATTAGCTTGTTGATAACTTGAACATTCCAGTAGGATATTGTGTAATTTTGTTTGCACTGTTTGCAGTGATTTTTTTGTATTAGAATTAGTATTAAAATTAATTTTGTAAAATTTGTGTTTTTATTAATAATGTTTATCGTGAAAAAGATTACTAAGATTACTGATTTCTTATACGACAGTAGTGAGTTAGTGCTACTGTTATATCACTTACCAACTTACCACAAAATATTATTTTTTTATAGTGTTGTTCACGAATTCCCGTACGTATGTACAACTTCTGGTTTATTCTGGACTTCGTTTTTTTTTTTTTTCTAAGATCGAAGCGTTGGTGGAGGAGCAACTAAAATAATTGAATTACATTGTTTACAACAGAGCATAGTCAAAGACTGTCCCTATTATTTTTTTGTTGGTTTAAACTGTTTCATGCAAGGCCTTGCGGAGAGACATTTGCACATTTATAAGAGGTGTGCACCGCCGTTTTGCTGCTGAAACAATTACTCCTACTTACTTTTTCTATTAAAAAAAAAAACTAAATTCAAAGAAATAATTTTATAACTTTACCCACCTTGAGTTTTACAGAAGTTAAAGTTAGCGCCGATTTACTTAGTCTAACTTCTCTAGGGAACTTTCGTCGCGGATGTTTGTTTGTGGAATGTGACTACGAATTTCCAGTTAATAATTTAAAATATAATTTTTTCGAAGAAAGCGACAGCGAGTTGTGTTACTTTTTGTCTTTTTTAAACATCAATATTAAAATTAAGAAAACAGCCGCAACTGAGGAAGTTTTCAGAAAAACAAATAATTGTTTTATGGTACATATTGAAAGGGCGCTAACATCTACGGTTTTTTATAACTCTAACTAACTCCATATTTAATTTTTATTTTACGAATAGCTTTAACAGCATTTGTCCGTATAATGATATTAAAGTTCTTTCTAATCTACCGGTGCGCCAGAACTCGCGCCCCAGAGTAAAATGATGCCCCATGTAAGGTAAGGTATGTACAGTTGGTTGCAATAAAAACGGAAAATAGAATTTTCTTTAGATTGAAACAGTAACCAAGTGTACCAGGAACATTAAAAAACGTTAAAAAATTCTATCTACTGAATGTTCCGAGATTGGGGGTACAAGAGGAAAAAAAAATCTTTAATTTTACACCAAAACTGCAAAGGAAAAACATTTTTTGCTTCACTTGAAACGAGCAAATCAGAAATTAAAGTTTCATTATTCTGATTCAGTGAAAAGGAAAGTTCATTTTTCTTTTGGTTTTAGACTTTACAAGAGGAAAATTTTCTTATCTTTCATTTTACGCCAAAACTGCAAATCTGTTATTAAAACTTCATTATCCTGGTCCAGTGAAAAGAAAAGTTAATTTTTTTCTGCTTTTTAAGTCCTATCACATTGGCGGTTTTATTTATTTGTTATTATGATAGTTCTTGTTAAAAATGACTTTGTTTTTTACCTTAAAGCTGTTTCTTTGAGTTGCTATTTATTAAAATTAGGTTTTTCACAAACATTTTGTTATTTAATTTGCGTAAAGTCATTTGTCAAAGTGAAATCATTGACAAAAAAATAAAACCGTCAATGTGATGGGATTTAAAAAGCAGAGAAAAATTTGGTACAAGTTCAAAATTAAGAGAAAAATCAACTTTTCATTTGACTGAATCAAAATAAGAAAGTTTTAATTACAGATTTGCTCGTTTCAGGTGAAGCAAAAAATGTTTTTCCTTTGCAGTTTTGGCATAAAATCAAAGATAATTTTTTTTCCTCTTGTAAACTCAATCCGGGGACATAATGATTAAAAATGTCGAAGTTATGAGAGTGTAAATTTTTCACTATGTTTATTTCTGTTGGAAAACGAATTTTCCAAGTTTTTTTTTTTGCTAGAGTCTATTAGAAGAGGAAACAAGCGGTCTCCCTAAATTGTAACTGTTTAATGTTATTTAATTTAATGTTTTTATTTTATTTTTGTATCTTTACTAAATGATTATAAAAAAAACATATGTATACAAGATCATCAGTATCATTAAATAGGCATAAAAAATGTTGAACAAAAACACGATTAGCCCGTCACACCAAACTTTTATTTAAAGTTACTCCCTTTCAAGGTAGTGCGCGACTTACTTAATCATAAAGCTGTGCTATGAATTTTTAGGCATCCTCCTATACATAAATAAGTTATTGAAACGATTAAAAAAATACCTAAAATTAAAATATTGCAACAGTTTTTGTTTTAATATGAGCTTTTGCCGATTTTTAATCGTATATGTTCATATGAGGAACAGTCTTGATTTTTTTGTTACTATAGGCAATACCCCAATTATGTTTTATTAGGGTTAGGAGGGGAAAAAGGTGACCGGATCAGGGATCGTACTCTAAGATTTCGAGGTAGTACTGCGTTTTTTTTTGCATTTTTTAAGGTAGGAACTGTGCTTAGCGCTCCGCCAAAGCTCTCGAGGCAGTTTCCGGCGTCGGCGTCGTCGCATCTTCCTCTCCCATCCAGAAGATGTCTCGGTGTCGGCGTCGCGGTGATGGGCGGGCCGAGGAGAGCGGCGCGGCGCCCCGACGCAGACGTTCCCAGCAGCAGCAGCAGTCGACGCCGCGGATGCGCACTCGTAGTTCGTCAGTGATGGTCAGCTGTGTACGGGAGACGTCGAGAAATGCGCCTTAGGCATGTAACTCTGGGTTGCAGAGATACCCTACGGCCGCACAATGTTCGCGTACGGTTTCGAGATCACATAGACCTGTAATATGCCTGTGCCTAGTGCGAGTTCACGGTGAAAATCTGGCGTGAACGGTGGCTCGGAGACATGGCGTCGGTGGCGGGCTCGACCGAACAGCCGCCCGCCGCGCACGGGCACAGCTTCTGCAAGAAGACCTTCCACAAGCCCACGTACTGCCACCACTGCAGCGACATGCTCTGGGGCCTCATCCAGCAAGGCTTCATCTGCGAAGGTGAGATACGCCACCCGACCCATCCCGAAATAGGTCACACACCCCCGGCGCCTCCACGGACACGCTCTCCAGCCCGACAAACAACACCACTAGCCCACCCAACAACACTCTTAACTGGGCCCACCAAACCTGCATCGCTCTTATCAACATAATAAAATCATAAACTTAATTACAGAGATTCCTCTCAGAAAATCTCATCTACTCATAAAAATTACTCGCATTGTGAAATAACAAACAAGAATGTGTTTGTTTATCTAGATTTATATGAAAGGAATGCTTCGGTATTCCTGCCAGTTGTGACTACCGATTTTTTTTAATCCCGGTTGTGAAGTATCGTAATTCTTTGCTCATCCTTCTAAAATGTAACAGATCCAGAATGATACGTGGATCGTTTGCGACGCCGACGCCTCTCGTTGTGCTCGTCATTGCGCATCGATCTTTCGCTAGCGAATAATCTCGAGAAACTCCGATTATTTAGCGACGCATGTGTAGCGTCGTGACGTCGTTCGTCACCTTTAGTCATGTGTATCGCAGGTGTCACACATGCACCCCAAAATGATTATTCGACCCCCTTTTACTTGTCGCAATCCACATATCGTATTTTTCCCGAAGTCGCTTCCAAAAATAGCTAGTTTTCCATTGAGAATCGGCGCGCCAATGCCGTTTATCTCCCCTTAGGAGATCTCTATTCATACTGGAGCAATTGTGTTAGTTAACATAAGTTGACTTATTATAAACATCCAGGTATACAGAAGTGCGATATCGCAACGGAATATGTCAACTCGGCTCCCCTTTGTGTACGACTAAAGCTTCATTATTTATAGTCCTGAGGAAAGGTCAAAGAATCTGTAGCACCAATACGGCCGTTTCTTTACAACTGACTCCCACACTTGGAAACTTACTCTGTTGGCGTGTCTAGCTTTGAATAAATATTAGGCTCCGAGACGGTTTGCTCACAGGTGCATAAACTTTTAACCAAAGCGAAAAGTATGATTTCATTTTAATACTATAGATATGAAAGAGAGATTCCGTATATTTATTATTACTTATTTTTTGTGGAATCTGGTCTCTAGTATATTTCTTCGAAGTAAATTCTACATCAAATAAAGTTGATAACTGTTACTGGTAATACGTATTCAGACTCGATCTTGTAATACTGTTATTTAATATTTCAAGGTATTGTTTATTTGCAATTACCATTTCTGTGAATAGTTACAAATTCGTATATAAGGTTTATTTGTCTAAACAAATTATACAATCATAAATCTAAACATTTCATATTTGGGTAGGTAATTTTTTTAAAGGTGGACTAATTAAAATTAATAAGCAGAAGTAAGTATTATATAAAAAGCTCATATTATGTTTTTAAAGAGTGACCCAGAGTGACAATAGTAACATCTTAACAGTAAAACTGAAAAATATCTTACCGCATAATTCAACTGTTTAAGGGACAGAACATGACAAATGAGGAGCAGATTTTCAAAATGCATTTTGTCCATTTTTTTATAAATTGAGATAAAAGTGGCGTTGCAGGCTATATGCAGTTGTCTTTTCAATTGAAAGTTGCCTGGACATTCAAACTGCATTTAGTCCCATGTGTTGATTCAAACAAAACGCGTTTTGTGTGTCAATTTTGGGCTAAATGCAGTTTGTTTGACACTTGAAGCAGTACAACACTTAAAAAAATAACAAAAATAAGGGTTGCCAAAAGAATTTTTACTCAAAAGAAGTCACACCACAACCAAGTAAAACCGATGAAGAATGCTCATGTGCAGATGAGAAAGAGGTGCAACATGTACAAATTTGTTTATTAATAGATACATAAATACCAAATAAAGTTTTTTAACCTTTAAATAGCATTAAGTCCCCCTTTGACGATCAAACTGCATTATGTCCAAGACATGTTTGTGTTTTTTTGTAAAATGCCTAAGTACTCCAGCCGTAAAATTAGTGTACAATTTGTAGATATTTTTTCACATTTATTGGCACAGGTATAAAACATGAAAATTATTTCTTAAAAGAAGGACAGTTTTTTCTGTCTCCTGCAAAAATGCAAATTTGGACAAAAGTCTGCTCCTGAAATACATTTGCAGTTGCACGATCATGAGTGCTAAGCACTTATCGTAATTATTTATATGTTTTGAAAACACAGTAGAT